GAGGCACTCTGGGGAGTCCAGGGGCTAGACTTGGGCGTGGTGGGGTGGGCGTCCCCAACCTGGCATCCTCACCTTGAGGGGTCCCCAATTTTCGAGGTCCCAAATCCCCGGGGTGCCCCTGCATATCCGAGGGTCCCAATTTTTTGCGTGCCCACCCTAGGGGTCCCAATTTTGTAGGGTTCCACATTCCCGAGATGTCCCTGCCCACCCAGAGACAATTTTTTGGGTTCTCCTGTCCAACGAGGGGTCCCCGATTTGCGGGGTCCCACATCCCTGGGATACCCCTGCCCACCCAGGAGGTCCACACCCAGTGGGTGCCCACGCCAGCCCCTCGCAGCCCCCACACCTGCCTGGGACAGGGTGCCAGGTGCCCCTCCACGCCCGTGCCCCCGGCGCAGGCGGGACCGGAGGCGTTTCAGTCGCGCCCCGGCAGCGCTTCCCCTGCCCCTTCCCCACCCCGCCGCACCCTGGGGACCACCTGATCCCCTCTTTGTCACCCTCGTGTGGCCCTTAGCGCGGGGGGCGCGGTAGCACTGCAGGACCCCCTCTCTGTGACATCCCCGAGGCGGCACCTGCGCTTTTTGTCACCGCCATCCGCCAATTTGTCACCAGCGCCCCAAAGCGGGGGGTGGCCCATATCCTATAAGGGGGAATGTCAGCATTTTTGGGATCTCTCCTCCACTTCCACTCCCCCTCACCCCCGCGAGGATACTGCGCGACCCCGCACTCCCCGCGCTCCCCCGACCGCAGCATCCCTCGAGGGGACCTTGGGGACTTTGGGATATCTCAGCTGCTGCGCCCGGTTTCTGTCGCGGCTTCCCCATGTGACCGGGAAGGAGTTTCACCCACACCCTCACCTCATCCTCCTGCTCCGCCTCTGCCCCGGGAGGTGATGCCGCTGCTCCTGCTGGGGACGCGCCGGTGACACCGGGGGGACACCGCGAGTCACCCCTCGAAGGGACTGCGGGGTCGCGGTGGCTCCTGGAGTCCCTCCGAAATGACAGCTGAGGGCCCTGGGATGCTACCGGTGCCAGTTTGGGGGGTGTGTGTTCGCTTAGGGGGTGGGTTGAGGTCTCCAGGGTGGGTCCCGAAGTCCCCTCCCATCACCTCAAAGTCACGCCCCCAGCCCTTGCCTCAGTTTCCCCCTTGCTCTGCAGGGACCACTCGGAGGTGATATCCTGGAATTTGATTTATTTTGGGGGGTTTTGGGGCTACTAGAATGGGCTGGTTAGCCAGTGGGGTGGGCCAGGGTGTGGCTGGGCTGGTGGTCATCAGGGCTAGGCTAGAGGGCTGCAGACCAAAGTCCAGCTGGCATCCATGGCTCCGGTGTCCATCTGGACCAGTGTCCACCCTCTCCTGCCCCCGTCCATCCCAGGCTCCCTGGCCAGGGCTGCTTCTCACTGCAGAGTGGACAAGACCCATGGTCAGTCCCAATGATCCCAAACCCCCTCCCACCAACCCCACCAGGCCACCCACCCCGAGCCCCGATGGTGTCCCCTGGAAGCCGGACCAGCTCTGGATCTCCTGGAAGAGAGCGTTGCCGGGGCAGTCGGTGCGCCCTAGCTGGCGGTGGCCGCGCAGGGTGAAGTCCGGCCGGATGTGGCCAGAGCGGACGGCGCAGGGCAGCAGCTCGTCCCGCACCAGGGCCAGCGTGTCGGGGTCCGGGAGGGTGGCCGTGAAGTCACCGACGATGCCAACGCCGAAGCCTTGGGTGTTGTAGCCCTTGGTGTGGGCACCCACCCAGTGCCAGCCCCGGCCCTCGTACAAGTACCCATCCGAGCCCACCACGAAGCTACGAGGACACAATGGGGACAGTGAGGGGACAGTGAGGGACAATGGTGGGGACTACAAAGGGACAGGGATGGGACAGTGAGGGGAGAGTGGTGGGGACGATGTGGGGACAATGGTGGGAACTATGGGGGCTTATGGGGACAGAAGGAGAAACGGGGATGAAGACTGTGGGGAGACAGGGATGGATTTGGGATTTTAGATTTGTCCCACGAAGGGACAGTGGTGGGGTCTGGAAAGGGACAGAGAGGGGGACTGTGGGGGGTTATGAGGACAGTGTGGGGACAGGGATGGGGACTGTGAGTGCACAGTGGTGGGGACCATGAAGGGACAGTGTTGGGGACTGCAGGGGGACAATGATAGGGACTGCAGGGGGACAGTAGTGAGGACCATGGAGGGGCAGTTATGGGGGTCATGAAGGGACAGAGGTAGGGACTGTGGGGGGACAATGGTGGGAGCCATGGGGGCCACAGTGAGGGGGACTGTGAGAGGACAGTGGCAGGGTCTGTGAGGGGACAATGACAAGGACTGCAAGGGGACAGTGAAGGGGAGGGTGACAGGGACCATGGTGGCACAGTGATGGAGACCACAGGGGATGACAGTGACCATGGGAGACAATGACTGGCCCCAGGGGAGGTGACAGGGACCAGTGGGGGTGACAGTGCCCACAGGAGTACAATGACCGCTTCCACAGGGGATGCCAGGGCCTGTGGCAGGTGCCATCACCCCGGGGAGGTGACAGTGACCTGTAGCCGATGTCGTCCCAGCCACGAGTGTCCTGGTGGAAGCGCTGCATGTCCCTCATGGCGCGGGTGCAGGCGCTGAAGGTCTGGCAGGGCAGTGCCGGCTCCAGGGTGTGGTGCAGGAACACCGAGCCCAGCGGGGGCTGCAGCGGGGCCGGGGTACCCCGGTAGGGACGGGCGCCCCACAGGCAGCGGGGCACGATGGCTGGACACTCTGTGGGGACAACAGGGTGCAGGTGTCACCTGAGATCTTGGGGACACGGCAAAGGCCTTGTGGGGACATAGAGCTTGATGGGGACATGATAGAGTCTGCATGGGGACAAGGGGCTCTATGGACCCCTGGGGACATGGCAGAGGCCATATGGGGACAAAGAGCTCCTTGGGGACATGGTAGAGTCCACCAGGGGAAGAGGGACTTGACAGGTCTTTGGGGACATGGCAGAGACCACGTGGGGATATGGGACTTGATGGGGACACAGTAGAGTCCACCAGGGGACAAGGGGCTCCCTAGGGATGTGGTGATATCCATGTGGGGACAAGGGGCTGGATATGTCCCTTGAGCCACTAGGGACATGGCAGAGGCCATGTGGGGACAATGGGCTCAGTGGGGACATGCAGAGGCCGTTTGGGAACAAGGTGCTTGATGGGTCCTTGGAAGAGGCCATGTGGAGACATACGGAGTGATAATCCTTATCTGGAGGTGACAAAGCACATTTAAGATGTGACAATCCCTGTTTAGGGGGTGACAACCCCATTTAGGGGGTGACAATCCCTTTTTGGGAGGTGACAACCACTGTTTAGGGGTGACAAATCCATTTGGGGTTGACAACACCCATTCGAGCAGTGACCATCTCTATTTGGGAGGTCACAACTCCATCTAGGGGGTGACAACGCCCCTTTGGGAAGTGCCATCCCCATTTAGGAGGTGCCACCCCGCCCGTACCCACGTAGCGCTCGCTGAATTCCTGCGCTGCCCGACGAGCCACGGCCGCCATCTCTTGTGTCCCCATGTCCCTCAGGAGCTCCGGGCTAGGCGACAGCGTCCTCAGCATCCCCAAAACGGCCGCCACCTCCTTCTCCAGCCGTCCTTGTCCCGCCAGCGCCCCAAAATCCCGGCGCCGGTAACTGCTGAGGGGTCTCCCTGCTTCCGAGCCATTCCCGACCCCGTAGTAGCCCCGGAGCAGCTCGGCCACAGGGAGGGGTCCCCGCGCCAGCTGCGCCCCCAGAAGCACCCCATCCATGGCCCCGATGGCCACAGGGTCAGGGACAGGGGACGGGGGACCCCTCAAGGTGTAATTCTGGGGGTTCTCCACGTCGTCCCAGCAGCCGCCGGGTCCCAGCGCGGTGGCGTTGTTGTCACTCCCCTGCGCCATGAGGAACGATGTCCCCAAAGCCTCGGCGATGGTGACAGCCAAGAGAGGATCGGCGGGTGGGTCGAGGGTGGGGAGGGGTGGCCCAAAGCCACCGGATCTCAGCCCCGCCTCGATGCCGGCCAGGAGGGGACCGAGGGCCACCGTGGAGCCGTCGGGGGTCAGCACCGCCCCCAGCTCCGGTGTCGCCGGGTCGTAGCGGAGAAGCTCGGTCAGGAGCTGCCACTGGCCCACAGTGAGAGCCGGCGGGCGTTCGGGGGACCCGGGGGGCTCGCCCAGCACCGCCCGGCACCCCGGGGTGCTGCAGACCCCCAACCCCCTCCCCAAGGCTGCAGCGGTGCCGGGGGAGCCGCCCCGGGCCGGGGACTCGAGGACGTCCAGGATGTCGAGCACCGAGTCCATGTGGCGTGGGGGGACAGCTGGGGACAGAGCTGGGGACATGCCTGGGGAGACGGAGATGGGGGGCGAGGGGCGTTAAAGGGTGGGATGGGGGTGGGAGGAGGCACCCAAAAATGTGCCAAAAGCAAGGGGAGGGCACCCAAAAGAGGAGGAAAGGACCCAGAAGAGGGGAAAACGGCTAGAAGGAGGAGAAAAGCACCCAAAATAAGGGGAAAATGAACCAAAATAGGCTGGAAAGACCCAAAATAAGGAGAAAAAGAACCAAAACAGAGAGAAAGTACCCAAACCATGGGGGAAAGGACCCAAAATAGGGGGAAATGGACCCAAAAGAGAAGGGAAGGACCAAAAACCAGAGGACAAAGGGTGTTCTGGAATGTCATGGGGTGTCACGGGGTGTCGTGGCACATCCCTACCTGTGCCTGGGCAGGAGCAGACGCTCAGTGCCAGGAGCAGCCACAGGAACATCCTGAGGGACATGGCGACACCTTGAGGGACACGGGGACACCCTGCGGGACATGGCCCTGGGACCTCGGGGACTTTGGCCTCGCCGGGGGCGGGGTACAGGGACACACGGGGGAGGGACGGGGACACAGGGAAGGGGACATGGAGACACGGAAAGGGACAGGGACACACGGGGCGGGGGGGATGGGGACACACAGGGAGGAGGGGACACAATGCCACCAGGACACATATCAGGGACAATGTCGCCATACCTGTGGGGACGCTGCCACCATGACATGTTAATGCATGAAGCCACCAGAACGTGTCAGGGGACACTGCCACCAGGCCATGTGACCTCCTGGGGAACACTGACCCTTGTCCCGTCCCCAGTCTGTCCCTAGGGGCAGTCTGAGTCCCCTAAGTGCAGTGGCTCTGGGATACCTTGGTGGCTGTTACCTGCTTCCGGGCCACTTGTCACCAGCTGAACAAGCTCCCTGTCCCGCCCTGGTGGGTGGTGACATTCAGCTGGGACTCCGAGGTGGTGACAGTGAGGACATGCTGGCAGGAACTGCATCAGGCAGCACTTCGCCATGGCTGAGATGAAGGTGCTGGTGGCACTGACACTGTCCCAGTTAGTGACTACACCCATGTCCCTCTCCGTGGCCATGTCCCCATCCATTTCCATGTCACCCATGTCCCCATCCACGTCATTTGCCCCTACATGTCCCCATCCATGCCTTAGTTCAATGTCTTTATTTTTACCCCAGTTTCAGAGGTTTCAAAGGGATGAACAGAAACAAAAAAAAAAAAAACAAGGCTAAAACAAAAGGATTCACATGTCTGTGCTGGCAAAGCATCCATGTGCTTAGGTGGGTAGGAAGAACTTTTTTAGAAGGGGTTTCCATCCCACTGTCTCCAAAACTCTGGATTTTGCCCCAGTCCATCCCCATTTGGCTGTGGAAGATGCCTGTGGGCCAGAGAGAATTAAAACAATGGGTTAATGTTGGAGAAGACACCCAAAGCCATCCAGTGTTGCTTGATGCCACCAGAAGATACAAAAGGTAAGATGTTTTTAGGAGTGGAACTCGACAAATCAACTCTCCACAATGGATTTCTGATGTTGGTCTGTGGATGTGTCCAGGTGCCCACGGGGAGCCAGGAGGATGTGGAGCTCCCCAGCCAGGTGTCTTCCCAACATGGATCACCAGGGTCTTGCCAAATGGGGGTCACTGGGGATCATCCAAAGCTGATCCTCCCATGGGGAATGGAGCTGGAGCAGAGCACGAAGCTCTTCCCACACTCAGAACACTCGTAGGGCCTCTCCCCAGTGTGGATGCGCTGGTGGATGATGAAGCTGGAGTTGTACCTGAAGTCCTTCCTGCAGTCAGGGCAGTGGAAGGGCCTCTCCCTGGTGTGAATCTGCTGATGCCTGAGGAGATGGGAGATGGTTTGAAAGCTCTTCCTGCATTCATGACACTAATACGAGCTCTGCTTTGTGTGGATCCCCTGGTGGACAATCAGTTTGGAGCTCGTCCTGAAGCTCTTCCTACACTCTCCACATTCATAGAACCGTTCCTCGGTGGATTCAACACTGGTGGATCAGAGTTGAGCACTAGCTGAAGCTCTTCCCACATTCTGAGCACTTCCGGCCCAGGATGGATTTTCCTTTCCCACAGACCCCTGGGCTGGGTCTCTAGCCCCTCTTTGTACAGGATCTCCGGGGCTTTTCCTCCCCATTGGATTCTTGTGCCGTGGAGCTTCTCAAAACGGCCTCTTCCATGACGTTGTGTGGCAGGGATTTGTCCTCCATGGTCTCCATGCTCAGCTCATTGCCTGGGGGAGGAAGGACAAGGAGAGGATGGGATTTTCCTCTGTGCCAGAGGGAAGGGGAAGCAGATCCCCCCCAATCCATCCCTGGCAAGAGAGTGTTGGCAGCGGGGTTGTCCTGCAGCTGGGGGCGATGCTGGGCTGGGAGATGGAGCAGAGGAGAGGGGAAAAGGGGCAGTGACTTCCTCCTCACCTGCCTGGGGCTCCCGGGGCATCTTCCTCTTCCTTGCAGCCTCCTGCTCCTCCTCCATCCGGCCGAGGCTGGGGAATGGGAAATCCTGGTTTGGGGCAAAACAAGGGGTGGGCGCGTTGGGTATGATAGACCCAGTGTCCAGGTCCAGCTCTAAAATTCACCACCCCTTTCAACCTCAGGGGGCCCGGACCCCGCTCATCTCCAGCTTTCCCCACCCCTCCAGGCTGCCGGGGGTCCCCTGGCTCCGGGATCGCCCATGTGCGCTCTCCCAACTCCGGGGCTCCCGCGTTCCACCCCCAGCTCTTTTGGGGAGCCATAAAACCGATATCACCCCCGCTGGTACCGAGCGATTGCCACGTGGATCCCCCAAGAACCCCCAAAGTGGCATTTATGGCTCGGCTTGGGGTCCTGCAAGATCCAAACATCCCCTGCCCCGCAAAAAAAGAACCTTCCGGAGACCCTCTCGATGGCTTTGGGGCGAGCTCTCCCTCCCCACTCACCTGCGGGTTCCGCGTGGGCGATGCTGCCGGAGTCTGAGCGGGCGGAAAGGGAAACGGCGTAGTTTGCGGCGGCTGCGCCTCCTGGTCCTTCCGCTCCTCCTCTTCCTCTCTCCCTCCTTTTCCTGCTCTTTCTCCTCCTCTCCCTCCTCCTCCACTTCCTCCCGCTGCTCCTTCCTTTCCTCCTTCTCCCTCCCTCATTCTCTCCAATTCCTGCTCTTCCTCCTCTCTACCTCACGCTCCTGCCTTTCCTTTTCCTAGTCCTCCTCTGTCTCTCCTCTTCCTTCCGCTCCTCCTCCGCTCCCAGCCCGGCCCGGGCAGGTGCCGACTCCCCAAAAGCAGCTGCGCTCTGCCCTGTGGGTGTCGCTGAACCGCCCCCCCCCGCGCGGTACTGAGAGCACCGGGAAGGAATTGGGAACATTTTCCCTCCCAGTGCCGCTCGTACTGGGAGCACTGAGATGGAACCGGGAGCGAACTGCGCCCGGCGCGGCAACAGCCGGCGGTGGGCAGGGCCAGCGGGGGGGGGGGGGCGGAGCTATGCAAATACAGCAACAATTGCGCGCTGTGATTGGTGGGCGGGAGCAGCGCGGGGTTTCCCTGGTCAGGTGAGGGCCGGAGGGGGCGGAGCCATGGCGGCGGCGTCCGGAGAGAGGAGACAGGGACTGGGACCAGGAATGGGGACCGGGAATGGGGACAGGAGCTCGGAATACGGGACAGTGACTGGAAATACGGGACTGGGACCGGGAACGGGACCGGGATTGGGAATATGCGAACGGGACTGGGAATACGGAAACGGCAACCGGACTGAGAATATGGTATGAGGATTAGGAAAATAGGACCGGGATCGGGAGTAAGAGAACGGGACTAGAAATACGGGAACTGGAATATGGGAACGCAACCAAGAATGGGAATGTGGAAATGGAAATACATGAACGGGTATACGAAAACGGGAACAGGAAAGAGAATACAGGACTGAGAACGGTAACCAGACAGAGAAAACGGGACAGGAACAGGGAGTGAGATGGGGAATGAGATCCGGACTGAGATGGGAGCAGGACGGGACCAGGAGTGGGGTGACGGGAACAGACGGGGTGCATGGGAGTGACAGCGAGGAGAAGGGCATCCGGGTCAGGGGACACCAGGAACTGGGACAGGAGGACATGGGTATAGGTCCAGGGCAGGGGGTCCTTGAGCAGCTGCCCCAGAACCTCCGCCAGGGTCTCCCAGCGCAGCCGGAGCCGCTCGGCCTGGGGTCTGCAAAAGCCTCAGCAAGCCCCAAATCCCTGCCAGGAACCCTCAATTCCCTCCAACCCAGCATCCCCCACAGCCCCTGCAAGTTCCCCCCCATGTTTCCATCCATGTTTTAGTTCAACATCTTTATTTTTACACCAGTTTTGGGTGTTTGGAAAGGACAAAGAGAAATGAAAAGAAAATCAAGGCCACAGGGAGCCAGGAAGAGGTGGAGCCCCCCAGCCAGGTGTCTTCTCAACACGGGGCAACGGCACCACAGATCACCGGGGCCCTGCCCACTGGGGATCACTGGGGATCATCCAACGCTGATCCTCCCACAGAGCTGCAGCAGCACACAAAGCTCTTCCCGCACTTGGAGCACTTGCAGAACTTCCCTTAGTGTGGTGTCTCCATTGGTGTTGGGTCAAGGTTGAGCTGTGCCTGAAGCTCTTGCCACACTCGGGACATTTATAGGGCCTCTCTCCAGTGAGAATCCACTGATGTAGGAGGAGATAGGAGCTGCGCTGAAAACTCTTCCCGCACTCGGGACACTCGTAGGGCCTGTGACATCACAAGGAGTGGGCTGGCTGTGATTTGTTTGGTGCCTGTGAGATCCCCAGGACAGTGTCACAGTGGAGGCAGCTCTCAATGTCCCCAGCAGGTCACGCTGCCCACTGCAGCCGTGCCAGTGGTCACTGTGCACTCGGGGGAGGCTGGGCTGAACGGGGGTCGGGGCAGAAACGCCCCCCCGGGACTGGGGTCATCCCCCGCCTCTGGGCCCAGCCGCTGGTGGAAGCGCCTTGGGCAGGGCACGGGGCTGCTGCTGACCCAGGGGGACAGGCCTTGCCCCCTGCCAGCTGCTTGGGCCCCTCTGATGCCTGTCCCACACCCCTGTGACTCCTGTCCCCACTGCTCCCCGCCACCTTCACTCCCTCCATCAAAACCCCACTCAAGCTCTTCAGTGACCTCTGGAAAGAAAGAAAGAATGAAAGGGACTGTCAGTTGACCCTGGCTGGATGCCAGGCACCCACCAAAGCTGCTCTCTCACTCCCCTCCAAAGATGGACAGGAGAGAGAAAATAGAATGGAGGCTTCATGGGTTGAGGTAAGGACTGGGGCAGATCACTCAGCAAATGCAACCATGGGAAAAACAGGTTCGAAATTAAAGATATTAATTGAATTTACTGCTCTCCAAATCAGAGCAGGATAGTGAGAAGTAAAATAAAGCTTTAAAAACGCCTTCTGCCCCTCCCTCCCTCCCTCCTTCCTAGCTCTTCCTCCTGCCCCAGTGGGTGCAGGGAGACAGGGAATGGGGGTTCTGGTCAGTTTATTACGTGTTGTTTCTCCTGCTGCTCGGGGAGAGTAGTTCCCCTGCTGCAACATGGGGTCCCTCCCGGAGACGCTTCTCCATGAACTTCTCCAAGGTGAGTTAATCTCACGGACAGCAGTTCTTCACAAACTGCTGCAACGGGGGTCACACTTCCACGGGCTCACAAGTGCTACCAGGAACCTGCTCCAGCCTGGGCTCCTCTCTCCACGGGTTTGCAGGTCCCTGCTCCAGCACAGGTTTCTCATGGGGTCACAGCCTCCACTCAGGCATCCCCCTGCTCGGGCATGGGCTCCTCTAGGCACTGCAGGTGCATCTCTGCCCTCCGTGCCCTCCATGGGCTGCAGGGGCCCAGCTGCCTCACCACGGAATCTCAGGGCAATCAGCTCCAGCACCTGGAGCAGCTCCTGCCCCTCCTCCTGCCCTGCCCTGCCTGTGTGCACAGTTGTTCCTCTCACATGTTCTCACCCTGCCCTTCCCTGGTCACAGTTACAACTACACTATAACCGGTTTTCTTTTTCTTAAATCTGTTATCCCAAAGGCGTTACCACCATTTCAAAGTGTCCCAACCTTGGCCAGTGGCCAGTCCGTCCTGGAGCCCACTGGCGTTGACTCTGTGGGACATGGAGGAGCAGCTGCTTCCAGCAGCCTCACAGAAGGTGCTCATAGAGCCCCCCCTTACCAAAACCTGTCCATGCAAACCTGGTATAAGTATGGTAGGGTTTTTATTAGCTTTATTAATTATTATTATTTCTATTATCACTATTGTTGCTATTAATGTTGCAGTTATTACTAATTTTATTCTTTTTGACTCTGCTGTGACTGTAGTAGAACTTGAAACCAAAGTTCTTAATTGCAAGTAGAAGTTATAATTTTGGCAGCTGCTTGCCCTGCCCTGTTCTGTGTCATTGCTGTGCGTGAGGCTGCTGCTGCCAGGGCTTCCCATTTCCCTGGTTTGGGAAATTCTATGGCGTTGCTCACATGTCAGAGAGGGCTCATTCCAATTGCCTGAGCTCTTCCAGTCCCAGTGTTAGAAGCTTGTTTTCTAACGTTGTTGACTTTCTCAGCTTCTGTTAATACTTGTGATTTTATAACAAAATGTTCTCAGATGTGATTTTGCCAAATTCTGTAATCAGTTGTCTGTTTTGCTCTTGGATTTCTTAATGGTGTGTCAGAACTGAATGCAGCATTGGGTGGGAACCCTTCAGTCTGAGCTAGGATTGTGTGAGCAGCAGCTGGTTTTGCACATCTAAGCAGAGAAAACAAAGACTGCATGAAGTGAATATTGTGTGTCGTTGTGGAACCCGCAGTGCCCGGCTCCAGGGAGCTGCAGGTTGTGCCGGGGGTGGGGAACGGCCGGAGCTCCCGGCAAGGGGGCGGCAATGGACACTGAGCCTTTGCTGAGCAAGAGGCTGGGGCCTGCGGCTCCGGTCAGTCGATGCCCGGGCACGGCGGGACTCTGCGGGAGCTGGGAACAGCGAGAGAGCCCGGGCCAAACATCAGCACCGGGGCGGGGACAGCCTGGGAGGGGCACAGCCCGGGGGGCCCGCAGAGCCTCCCTGCTCCAAAGCCCCTCCTGCGACCGCGAGGCAGCTTCCGGGACCTTTGGGTCACGGAGGATCCGCAGGCCGGCATTGCAAGCGGCTCCTTTGGGGCCGCTGCCAAGCGCCGCCGCCTTTCCCCGGGAGTCCCCGGGCAGAGCTCTGTGCTCGGGGCCAAGGGCCGGGCGCCCGCTGGGCAGCTCCGAGCCGGCAGAGTTTCGGGGGTGCCGGTGTTGGGGGCCAGCACAGCCCCGGCGCTGGGCCGGGGGATGCGTGGGACCCTCCCGCGCTGGGGGTTGGGCTACCCGGCTGAGACGCTGCATTGTCAGCCCGGAGCCACGTGGCCATCGCCCGGGACCGGCGGGGCTGGGGGTTGGGACAGCGGAAAAGGGCGGGATCGGAGCTAGGGGACCCTCTGCAGCCTGCGGGGGGCCAACATCCCGATGGGGAGCCCGGAGAAGAGGAACCTCTGGGATGCCCAGGAGCCCCAGCAGCCCACAGAGTGGATACCAATACACAGTGTCTGGGCCTGCAGAAGCCCAGACAGGAGGGACCCCTTGAACTCCAAAGTAGAGAGACCATCCTGAGTGGGTGTTTTTTTACTGGATCTTGGTGGTTTGGGTTTTTTTGAGGTCGCTGAATCTTGGTGGTCTGGAGATTTTTATAGACACCAGACACCTGGTGACTTCTAGAGCTGGACTTGGGCAGGAGGAACACCCAAGCCAACACAGTCACAACTTGTTTTTTCCCCAAAACAGGAATTCCAGTTCCCAAACTTTGGCCAGATGGAGGAGGAGGCTGCGAGGAAGAAGATACCCCCGGGAGCCCCAGGCAGGTGAGGAGGAAGTCACTGCCCCTTTCCCCCTCTCTTCTGCTCCATCTCCCAGCCCAGCATCGCCCCTGGCTGCAGGACGACCCCTCTGCTAACACTGTCCTGCCAGGCATGAATTGGAGAAATCTCTTTCCCCTTCCTTCCGGCACAAAAATGAATCTCCCTCCTTCCTTCTTTTTTCTTGTTCCTTCCTCTCCTTGTCCTTCCTCCCCCAGAAAACGAGCACAGAACAGAGACCAGCAAAGACAAATCCCCACTCCAGAACCTCGTGGAAGAGGCTGTTTTGAGCGGCTCCACAGTGCAGGAATTCAATGGGGAGGAAAAGCCCTGCATGAGGAGAGGCTCCAAACCCAGCCCACGGAGTCCCGAGGAGGAAAGATCCACCCTGGACCGGGAAGGCAGCCAGAGGCCCAGATGCAGCTCGGAGCTGGTGGTCCCTGAGCAGCTTCATGGTAAGGAGAAGCCCTACAAGTGCTTAGAATGTGGGAAGAACTTCAGCCAGTGCTCCAGCCTTCTCACCCACCTTCGGGTGCACCTCGATGGGACCTCCTTTTCTGGCAGCATCTTCAGGGCACAGCTCAGGGCTGGGAGGCTCCTCCCCCCACTCAATTTTTTCTCCCCAGTTCAAATCATCCCCTCCCATTCAAATCCCCTCTATTCCCATTTTCTCCCCACAATTACAGTTTCTTTGCCCCAATTAAACTTTTCTCTCCAGTTAGGCTCTGAGCCCCCTCCCCGCCCCCAGCTCCTCTTGGCAGGACCCAGCCGAGACCTTCTGGAAACAGGAGTGGAAAGAGTTTAAAAATTCATCATTATTTCCTTGTTTTCCAGAGGATTTGCCTGTGGCTTTCCTGCAGAAACCCCTTCCTTTCCAGGTGATGGCTGAGGGGTCCCCTTGGGCTCCACCCCTTTTCCAATCCTTTTTTCCAGCTCTTTTCCTCAGCAGACCTAAACCTGTGGATTTTGGGGAGCAGGAGGGGTCGCTCTGCTCGGGGGTCTCGAGGTGCCCCAGGGAGGCCCCGAGGCCCCAGCGCGGCTCCCTCCGGCCCTTTGGAGCATTTGGAATCTCCAACTCTCAGCCAGCGCTGCCCGTGGGATTCAATCCCCCCTGCAGGGCTTTCCCCCAGACCGGGTTTATTTCCAGAGGGGTTTGTGGTTTCCCTTCGAGCCGGGGCCTGACGGCACCGGAGCGGCC